CCCGATGACTTTATAGACATACACAGGCACCAAGGATCCAAGTGCAACTGAGTATGACTAGTATTAATCAGATACATACAGATTAGAGATGCAAGTGCAACATCTCAGTGTTAGTAGCAAAAACGAGTCTTTCTGCAAGGAACAATATATTCTAAAATGAAATGGAGATCTTTTTTAAAGGTTAAAAACTCATCCAATTTTATGTTTACAGGGCTTATGTTGAGTTTAATAATATATAACTATATTAATTCAACTATGAACCTAGAAACACCCCCCCCCGCCCCGCCCCATGAAAGAGATGTACTGTTGCTCTGGAGTGTGTTACTGAATATGTTAAAGCTATAGTGAAAAGCTTCTAATCATGTAGTTATTAAAAACTAGAAAAAATGATTAAAAAATAATTAGTCATGTATATAGAGATTAGAAATGCATGTGAAAACGTCTCAATGTCAATAGCCTTGGAAAGAATTTTTCTGTATGAAACTGTGTGTTTTGAACAAAGTGGAGATCTCTTTTTAAACATTAAAACCTCATTTCATTTTATGTCTTATAGAGTTTATAATGAGTAAAAGATTGTATAACTGTAATAATTCAACTGTAAATCTAAAAATGTACAGCCAATTATGTGAGATGCATCCTAGCTCAGAAAATTCTTATTGAATATGTCAATGCTGATGTAATGAAATGCTTCTCCTAAGTATGTGGTTATTAAATAAATAATTTAAAAAACCACCAACAACAAAAAGTTATTTCTTTTCTCAACTGAAATAAAAAAATTCTTTAAAAAAAAAAAATGCTTTGCCAGAAACAGCGTGAGAGAGAAAAGATGAAGCAGTGAGACTGCGGTCGCTCAGTTCTCCTTTTCTGTATTCCATTCAGGAGGAAGCCAAGGGAATGTGGCCAGCCACATTTAGGGTGAGTCTTCCTACCTCAGTTAAGCTAATCAAGACAATCCCTTAGAAGCAAGCCCAGAGGCTTCCTTCTAGGTCAGGTGCAATAGACAATCCACATACATCATCACAAAGAGCAAATCAAAGTACAAGGATCTCCAGCTTCCCACTGTCAGCACGAAGCAAAATAAAAAACAACAAACCCATCTCACCTTCATGTGTACAGACAATTTATCAATAGTTTCTTCTTGCTTTTCACAAAACAGACAGACAGCAGAGACAGGGTATTCTTGCCAATCAGACCAGTCACTAGGTTAAAAAACACAAAATAGAAAACATGGGCATTCTTTTCACTGGAGGGTACGCCAGTCAGTGTCTGTATTATGTCTCTTCCCTAGGAAATGCCACATAGCATTGCGACTTCCTGACGTAGCTTCAGAAACTCGAGCAGCAGCATGAAGTTAATAGACTGCAAACAGGTGCTGCTCCACTTTCTCCAGTTTGCCACTCTTCTGAACAAGCTATTCGAGTTCCCAATTAGCGCAGTATTTTCCCAAGATAACCACATTTAATTTGCAAAGGAGACCTATCAAGAGATGAGAAGCTCTCTCTCATTAGCCATAACCACTAGACACAGGATCTGTGACGTGAGATGTGGAGACTAGGTTTCGGTATGAAGGACGGTGAAAGCAACACACACATCTCATGAAAGAAACACTGGTCATTTTAAATGGGGAAAGTGTTAAATCTGGTGGTACAATGATAACTCAAAAAGCATACAGTATCGGAGAGAAGGCTCAGAGGTTGAGTGCTCGCTGTACAATCATGAGGACTGGAGTCTGGACCCCAGAACTCATGTAACAAAGTGGGCATCTCACACATGCCTACAACTCCAGCTCTGAGGAAGATGGAGACAAGATTGCTGGAGCTTGCTGGCGTCCAGCCTAGCCTAGAGAACACCAGCCCTGTCTCAAAATGAGTAGGTGGAGTAACAGGAGGCCACCCAGTGTCCTCTCCCAGCCTTTAAGCATACTCACAGGTGTACCCACCTGTACACACATTGGCATAACCCTCATACTCAAATCAATCAATCAATCAATCAATCAATCAATCAATCAATCAATCAATCAATCAATCAATCAATCAATCAATCAATCAATCAATCAATCAATCAATCAATCAATCAATCAATCAATCAATCAATCAATCAATCAATCAATCAATCAATCAATCAATCAATCAATCAATCAATCAATCAATCAATCAATCAATCAATCAATCAATCAATAAATTACCTTTTTTTTTTTGTCTTTTTGAATCACCATGCCAGGCTAAAAAAAAAAAAAAAAAAAAAAAAAAAAAAAAAAAAAAAGCATAAAGTATCCCTTTATCACCTCTTCTAACACCATGCATCTATTTTTTGAAATCTTCCTAACTTCTTGTCAGTCCCTAACCAGAAAAACTGCCAGTAGGAAAGTATTGTGGAGATAAGGAGCTACTTGTTTAAATTTGAACAAGTGAGACTATCTCATGGCAAGTTAAAAAATTAACACCACTATAACTTTGAAAATCAACCTATTCCTGACTAGAAAACAGTGAATACTGGGCTGGAGAGATGGCTCAGTGGTCACGAGCATGTGCTGCTTTTGCAGAGGGCTTGAGTTTGGTTCCTAGCACCCACTCTGGGTGACTCAAAACCCTAGCTGGTACAGTTGTTTTGGGAGTTGTGGAACTTTTCAGACATCTGGCCAACTTAGGGCCATGGAGGGAGCTTAGAGGGTTATAGCTGGCCAGGTTCTGATCCAAGGCTTCTGCTTCCTGATCCTGAGACAGAAGAGGTCAGGTTGCAAGCTTCCATCATCAGAGACAGAGCCCCAGCTGCCAATGACTCCACTCCCGTGAAATCATCAGCCAAAACAAATCTGTTTTCTTAAGCTGCTTCTTGTTAGGTATTTGGCCATAGTGCTGAGAGGAGCAACTTAAGTAACAGGGCTAAGGGACAGTGTTTCGCTGAAATATGGTTTTGGGAACCTGCAATCCAGTACTTCATTGGCTCAAATCTCTTTAGTCAGAATGAAGTTATATGGCCACATCTAGCTGAAAGAAATCTGTGCAATGCAGTGGCTTTATTTACACAGCATTAAGGCCACCTCATATTATAGGCAGTATAGTACTGAAGATGCAGAAAATGATGTGGAGAGATGACTGGCAATCACTGTCACAGAATGTATGAACGGGAAGTCACTCTCAGCTCCATCAGTTTCTAATGGTGATCTCAGACAAGCTGACTAACTTGTCTACGCTCCAGCTTCATGGCCAGACTGAGATAGTATCACTTCAGAGGGATGGAGATAAAGACTAAATGACCAAATATATAGTTTAATGCTGTATTAGTACATGTTATCACTCAAAATATGATTTTATTTTATTTTCTTTATTCAATTCCCTTTGGTGATATTTTTATGCAGAGTAGAAGGGTATGAGGAAGTCAGAAAGCCGCCACACTTCTGGCTTTACTGTTTCGGTACATTCAGCAACCTTTGTTTAAAATGGTGACAACATATACCTGCATACTTAATGTAACTACTGAATTTATATCCAGTAATTAATTAAAAGAGAAAAAGGTATGTGATAAGTGTTTTGTAAAATATAAATGGATTCTTTCTTTTTTTTTTTTTTGAGACAGGGTCTCATGTGTACTAGGCCAACCTCAAACTTGCTACTGAGGGTGGCCTTGAACTCCTGATCCTCTCCTCGCCCCTTGCTGAGATTACAGGCATGTGTTACCACACCTGGGCCTCATGCATACTAGGCAGGCACTCTAACAACTGAGCTAGAGTCCCACCCCTAAATGAAATGTTTTAACCTTTTACCTATGCATATTATTTTGGACATGTCTTGTTCTTAGTATGAAAAAGTGAAAAGTTAAAAAAAACCCAAGCCAAACCAACTCCTCCAAAAGTGTCTCTAATGACTTTTATATGAATATTTTTATTTTATGTGTGTATGCGTGTATTGTCTGTATGTATGTAAGTGCACCCATGTTGTGCAATGCCCTTGGACAGAAGAGGCCGTCAGATCCTCTGGAACTGGAGTTACAGGACAGTTGTTAGCTGCCATGTGGGTGCTAGGAATCGAACCCGGGTCTTCTGCAAGAACATAACCAGTGCTCTTAACCGCTGAGCTATCTCTCCAGCCCCATGAATATTATCTTAAATGAAAACTCTGGTCATATTCATGAAAGGTACAAGGCTCAAAAAGACTTTCTTTTTATCCTCTCTCTTTGGAATGGTAATTATAGAGCAAAGTAAAGAAGTATCCTCTTGTTCTAAACACTGTCATTAGCTAGCAGCAGTCGCAAGTCTTACTCTTCCTGAAGGTCTAGCAACTCCCGGTCATCTTCCAATTGCACTTCTTCCCATGATTTTCCAAGTTCCTTTGTAGGAAGAACAGAGGGATGAGAGAGGTTAAGAGAGGAAAGGAGCAGACAGACATAGAACTTAGATACTACCACCACCAAAACCTAAAACAAAACCACTCAAATGGTCCTGAAACAATACATGAAGATATATTTGAATTTTCCCTTCAGTGATAAGGATGGACATATTCTAAAATGCTAAAAGCTAAAAATATTAAAAATATTTTGTTGTTTTTGGAGAAACAGCAATAGCCTTTTAATCATGTTTTTCTCCCTCTTATTTTTAAATCAGTATTTTTCAACTCTTTAATATATATTAGAATCACTTGGGGATCTGTTTTTTTTTGATAGTTTATAATTGATTTAAAAAATATTAGTTATTTGAGAATGTCATACAGGTATTTTGATCATATTCACCACAAACTCCTCCCAGGTCCACTCCTGATTCCTTACTTCAATAACATGTCCTTTAAAAATGTATTTATTATTTTTATTTTATGTGCATGAGTGTAATGCCTGTATATAGGTAAGCGCACCCATGTTGTGTAATGCCCACGGAGGTCGGAGGTCAGAAGATGGCGTTGGATTCCCTGGAACTGGAATTATGGATGGTTCTTAGCCGCCATGTGGGTGCTAGGAATCAAACTCGGGCCCTCTGTAAAAGCAGCCAGTGCTCTTAACCACTGAGTCATCTCTCCAGCCCCTATAACATGTCTTTTTTTTTTTTTTTTTAACAAAACAAAACAAAACAACAACAATAAAACCCCTACTAACTCCAATTTGTGATGCCCATGTACTCCTGGGTGTGGGGAAATCTATCTATATGGTCAACCTAACAGGAGTCAGACCCTTAACGAAAACTGACTCTCCGGAAGAAGCCATCAACTGTCCATAGCTCCTTAGGGGTAGAGGCTCATGAACCCCTTCCTAGTCCATGCTAGAATGTTTACTGGATTGAAGAAAACCACTAATAGCTCCTGGCAGTGACCCCCAAACAGCATCCTATTGTCTGTTTAATTTTTTGACATTGTAAAATAACATTATCATCTGTAAAGTTTATACTTAAGAGCTACACAGTCAAGTTAGAAAAAGAAAACATCTGGGTTTGGGAAAACGGCTCAATGGATCAAGCACTTGCTGCACAAGTGTGAAGATCAGTTTGGATCCCCAGCACCTACATGAATGCTGGGTAGGCAAGGTGGCTGCCTTTAACCCCAGTATTTGTGAAGCAGAAACAGGGCATCTCTGGGGCAAGATGGCTAGCTAGATGAGTGGGATTGGCAAGTTCCAGGTTCACAGAGAAATCCTGCTTCAATAAATAGAGTGATGGAGAAAGACATTCAGTGTCAACTTCAGGCCTCCAAATGTATACATACACATCTGCGTGCCTATACATGTGCAAACACCCAGGCACACAAACATACATGCAAACAAAACAAAACAAAACAAAACAAAACCTACAAAAAAAAATCTCATATTTTAAGCAAGTATGATTTTGCTTTGGGCTGCATTCATAGCTAGCCTTGGCTACATGTTTCTACTTGCAGCCTGAAGACTGGTCATGCTTGTATGGATTGTTTCCATTCTTAATTCCCTTATAGTCTATTTCTAAGACAGCAGCAGCAGTTCCTTGTATACAGAAACCCTCTCATGGCTTCCCATCACATGCTGAACCAAATTCAGAGTTCCTACCAGTTTATACACATCCATGCCCTCTCCTAGCTTCTTTTCCATCCTTATTTTTCACTACCCTTTCCCCTCACCAGTGTATTCGAGCCAGGCTGGTCGTCCTAGTGTAGCCCCAACACAGCACTCACTTCTGTCAGCTGCTTTCACACTGTTGCATGCTCTGCCAGATAGCTCTCCCACATATCTGCACAGGTTCAACCATTGTGGCCTTTGTTTAACATGACCACTTTGATCTTTCTGTGACTAGTCTGTTTAACCCTCCAACCAAATTATGTCTTCTAGACATGACATAGCCATTGCACTTACGAACTTACCACAGTTGTAGCTATCTACATAAGACTGGCTCAAGATTGGGCCCCTCAATATCTCATCACAGATGGGGGAGGGGTCCATGAGGCCCCACCCCTTCCAGAGGGATTACTGCCAATTAACAGGTGCTGGAGGAGGAGGAGGAGGAGGAGAAGGAGGGGGGGGGAAGAGGAGGAGTTGGAGTTGTGATTTTCTTCAGTGGTATAGCAACTGACAAGTTGTCTGTGGTCTATTAAACTACCTCCCACCCATGCTTAGGCAAGAAACTATAATTAAACTCAGTGGGCCACATACAAAAAGAGATGAAGTCAGGCGTGGTGGCGCACGCCTTTAATCCCAGCACTTGGGAGGCAGAGTCAGGCAGATCGCTGGGCGTTCCAGGCCAGCCTGGTCTATGTAGCGAGTTTCAGGCCAGCTGGGACTGAAGGGAGACCCTGTCTCAAAAAAGACACACACACACACACAAAAAAAAAAAAAAAAAAAAAAAAGAAAGAAAAGAAGGGATTTGGTGGGAAGAAGGGTTTTCCTGGGAGAGGGATCCCAAAGGGGAATAGGGGAAAATAGGGGAATGGGGAGGGGGTGGAAAATGACTACAATTCACTATATAAATACATAAACTTTCTAAAAATAAAACTCCTATTCCAAGCTACTTTATATTCTTCCATGTCTTACTGTTATTCACAGCATGACTGTGTGCATGCTTTTGTCTTTTTATTTGCTATTCATCTCCCCCACTTGAATGTCCAAGAAGATATGGCCTTTGTTACACTTCCTGAATCTGACACATAGTAGATATTAGAAAGTAGTTTTTTATAGTTGTAACTGAAAAAAAAAAAAGATTTGAGGTCAATTGAGATCTTACCTCAAAAAGATTTTGTGAGGTGATTAAATGATGTCTATAAAGCACATGATATTGGTATGATAAATATCCAATGCCTATTCAAATCACTTTATCTTTCACAGTTAGTGGAAAAGTTCTACTTTGAGAGGTCTTTGTGTGGCAAGTCTAGTCAGTGACAAAGCTTTATAGGATGATGAGCAGGGATGATTTCTTCTTCTGGCCCTACCTACCACTCCCCTTTCCTTTGAGTTTTTTCTTTCTCTTTGTGTCCTGCCTTCTCTCACTCCAGTCTTTCAGCTGTGCTGTGCCAACACAGATGGTGCACCAGAGAGGGATGGGAGACCACTACTGGACATCTTTTCAGGGACTGACCTATGGATTAGATTGAGCGCAGCCTGACCTGCTATCAGCACAGTTATCCTTTTCATTCAGTAATGCTCTTTTGGAAGCCTAAACCAAAATTTACTCAGTTATGGACATTCTTTCCCTCTAAAATAAAGGTAATCATTTAACTAAGCACAAAGATCTATATGTGCTATTATGATTCAGAGGGAGCAAGAAAATCTATCATTCATCAACTTAATGAGAGGTTTTGAAGTTGTCATTATTTATCAGCTAAACGATGCAGAAACTCAGACACGCAGAGATATACCATAACGTCATTAGAGACAGTTAATTTGGGCTCTATAATGTACTTTCCAGAGTCTTCATAAAGTGTCTGAACCTCATTAGGGGGCATCAAAAATGGCTCCAACACTGTTAACAGGATCTTTGTGAGAATCTTTGGTAATGAATTAAATTTTTCATGCCTTACTTGGTCTCTCTGGACTAGGATTTATGGTCATACTTTTATTACAAGACATTATTCAAGGATAGGCCATCTGCAATATTACCATCCTGAGTGATATGAGCAAACGACGCTTATCAACAAATGTTTTGAGCCAAAAGGAAAAAGAAAATCATTTTCACTAATAAACTTCTAAACACAAAGTGTAATTTTGCAACTTTCTTGGTAGTTAATACAACCTGTAGTGATTTAGCTACATAATACAGCCTTAACAATTTACCAAATATGAGAGAAGATATATATTAGTATATTAGGAAACAAACAATTTGCATGTGACAATGGCCCAGACTTTCCTAAAGTGCCCTGCTTAGGAATAAGCCCTGCAGGGGGGAAATGCAAAAAAAAACAAAGCACAGGACTCTAATTAAAACACTGTGCATGCTAATGAATCATGTCAGGAAAGCAAAGAACACAAGAAAAACAAAAGTTTGGAAGGCATGTCAGTAAAGATGTTCAAAACACCCCCTCAAATCCCTGCATCAGATGGCTTATGAGCAATGAAAAGATGAAGAGAAAAAAAAATAGAAAAAGGAAAAAAGGTCCCTTTCAGCCAGAACCCCTGTTTACATATCCTTACACACACACACACACACACACACACACACACACACACACACACACACACATACACTCACGCACAAAACCATTTAAAGCAAGGGAAGAGAAACATTTTTAAAGGTAAATGAATTAGAGAACTATAATAAAACTATGAAATGCAGGTTAGGAGCCTACAGTTCTTAAATATGGCTCTATATAAGAGTTAAAAACAGATAAGTGATAAAAGTATGACAAAAATGGTTTTCTTAAAAAAAAAAAAAAAAAACCAAAAAAACCTCTGCGCCTGAGGAACATGTGGCTGAAGTCCCAAAGATGTCAAGCAGTTTGTTGCCAAAGAGGTGGGGTACCTAACTGTGAAACTAATGAGACCCTGTCCTTTAACCATTATCACTACCAGGTTTTGTTTTGTTTATTTTTAATAATAAGGTTTTTCAAAAAGTTTTTTTATTGAATTTTTGTGTATTTTATATAGAACATCTCATTATTCATTGCTTAAGCAAAATTTTAGAAGGCTTTATTGTTGTTCTTCATGTTATTCTTCGTGAATGGGGTCTAAAATAAGTCTACCATGATGCCGAGGAACTGTTGGCTCTCATTTTTCTCAACTACATATTAATGCTTTTGGAATGGACTTTATATGTGCATTTTAAATATCATAATGTTCTTTATTTATAATAAGATTTTTAAAAACATTCCTAGAATGTTGTTATTAAGGTTTGTGTTATTAAGGTTCAGGGCAGTCATATATTTTTGAAACGTTTCAAAAGTGTCCACACCATTTCTGTAATGCTAAAAGCAATAAAACACATTTTAGTTTTTGCTAACCATTTCTATAATTATTGTCTAGTTACCTCATCAGGAAGGCACTTGTGCTAAAAAGGCTACAGTTTTGAGTGAGAGTCTTAAAGCACAGAGTAAAGCCAGCTTTTTTTGATGGTGGCTCACATTCTAGTTTGCTACATGAGAACAAGCAAAAGTGAAGAGTTCATCACAAAATCATCATTATTTCTTGACCAAAACCTCAACCAAAAGTGTATCAGTGAAGGTATCAACATTATCTCAACTAAAAAAAGAAGGAAACAGACACAGAAGATAATAACCAACTCATCCTAGCTATGTGAATTTGGGTAAATTACTTAACTTCTTCATGCCCCAGTCTCCTTATGTAGAAAGTAGGCTTCACACTAACACCAGTGTTATGGGAATGTAATTAAATGACTCAATATAGATACCTAGGATAATGCTGGGCATGGTGTCGCATGCCTTTAATCTCAGCACATGGGAGGCAGAGGCAGGGGGGATCTCTGTGAGTTCATGGTTAGCCTGGTCTACATAGTGAATTCCAGGTTAGCTGGGGCTACAGGGAGACCCTGTCTCAAAAAGACCAACCCCCGCTCCCCAAATCCCGCCAGAACCTAGGATAGTGCCCAGTCCACAGAACATACTATGATAGTTGATGGTATTTTAAAAAAGTGACTTGCCCCAGGGCATGGTGGTACATGCCTGTAGTCCCAGCATTGAAGAGGCAGAAACAGGTGAATCTTTGAGATGGAAGCCAGGTCTATATGCAGACCCTGTAAAACACACACACACACACACACACACACACACACACACACACACACCACAGAAAACAAAAACCACAAAAAAGTAACATGTCAACATTACCCCCGAGTTGTGATTTCATTCTCACTTCATATCTACTAAGATTATCTATTCTCTTGAGCCACGAGTTGCCATAGCAAATCTATGGCTAGTACAATCCATCATGTTCCCCAGGGACAGCTGGCACTTATAAATAAGTTCAGTTTGACAGTCACACTACTTGATACTCAGGGAATGAAGTATCCCACTTTTCTATAATGTCAGCAGAATATGAGTGTGTGGACCCTTTGAAGTTTCCCCTACAAGGTAAAGACCTCCAGCTATACAGTGGTCTGCTAATCCTAAGCTTTTGAATATTAGTTTAAAAGAGCTCCGGAGGGAGAACTATCAAATTGCTCTCATAGCGGTGGCAGTGCATGCTTCTTAGAGCCAGCGCTGGATCCACTCCCCCTCGGATGGGGCTGGGCCCCGAAGCAGCTTTTTCTCTAGAAAGTCATGACTGAGTGATTTTAAGAGAAGATTGAAGAACTCATAGGGTGCCTTTGCCTTTGGCTGGTTGTAAAACATTTGTAGCAAACCATGGCAGCTTCCCAGAGTCAATCTTCAAACACATGCTAAACTTACTTCTCAAGGGGAATTTCAGTTTAACAATATATGGCTTAGTTAGAATACAGAAAAAAAAAAAAAAAATGCATCCAGAGCAGAGATTTCCAACATAATTCAAGGTACATTTCTTTCTATCAAACAGATAAAATGGCTGATAATATTTAAGTAGTCTCCTGCAACCAGTAGATTTAGACTTTAATGCACTTATGTTGAGAGAGGAAAAAAAAAAAAAAAAAAAAAAAAACCAAGACCCAATCTAATTTCTACTTGCTTAAAAAAAATAACACTTAGAAATAGAACTGCCATCCTTTACCATTCTTCTAACCCCTTGGGAGAGTTAGTTAATCTTTTTCTAGTCCTTTTGGGTAGTGTCCTTTCTTTATTAGATATAATTAAAAAGTTGGTGGATTGAGCACAGGGCTGGTGGCATTTCCTAGTCATTATGTCAATCCAAAGTCTCGTTTCATAATTCTAAGTATTCTGCAGTGATTTCTGTCACTAACTGCATACTTCTTGACTGCAAAAGACTAATAAACAGAGGGCCAGTAAACAGGATAGAGACTTTGTGGGCAAGCAGGGCTTCCAAGATATTTAAAATCCTTGGCATTAGCCACCAAACAAATAAAACTATTCTTGCATAGTAAAATGGAATGGTTTCTCTGCAACTTCCCTTAAAAATAGGCTGGAAGAGACAATAAAGACATATGTTTTATTTTGAGTGCACGAGGAGGATCATTTAGTGGGGAGACAGGAGAAGGGTAAAAGAATTGCTTTTAATGAATTGTAGTATATGGAATCTAGCATATCCAACATTCAACAGATACTTAAAAAAATAAATTATACAAATCTCTAGCCCCACCTACCAGGTAATATAATAAATGGGAGATGGTATATAGATACTGATATACTGCTGTTTTTTTTCCTAGTTATAATCACAGTGTATTCTTAAAACATGGCATTTTTACTACATAAAAACCTGCTAAATCAGAGACAACAAATGAAATTATACTTTGTAAACCACCACTAATTAATTCTAGATAATGCATCAAAATTACTAACTTCTGTACTGATTTCTCATTCAAACATTTGTTGGCCTGTAGGAAGATTTTGTTTGCAGTATTGCAATTAAACTTTAAATTACGAAAAGTAAACCTTACCAAATAATTGATGACATAAAATCGGTCATATTCTCTGTTCTTTGGATTGATTCTACGGTGTTGTTTTTTTCTCATGTGATCTTTAAGTGTGTTTTTATCCCTGAAGGTCTTCTCACAGTACAAGCACTGTAAACTAAAAGAAACATACAAACATCGTCAAACAAATCTCTTGGATAACGGCTACAAGCACCCTATATTTACTTTTCTATTTATTTATTTTTGGTTACACAAACAAAAGAGGGTACATGGTTCTTATATGAATTCCTCCCTCCCTTTACCCATTTGGTTTTGTAGAAAGCATGATATGGTTTATTATGTAGCTGGCTAACTTGGATATTTAGTTAAAAACATGGCAAGAACTGCCTTCGGCTTGCTGTGCACCAGCCCTCCTGCCCCATATCTTCCCAGTTGGGATGGACTGCATCTCTTGAGAACTATAAGCTAAAACAAACCCTCTCTTCCTGAAGTCACATCTTGTTAGGTGTTTGGTCAAAGCAACAAGAGAAGTAACTAATACAGATGGTGAACATATTCTTCATGGTATGTATGGTACATGTTTGGCAAAATGGTGTATCTTAACTCAAAAATTAAAAAAAAAACACTAAAAAGCAATATAATTTAAACAAAATGCACATCGTGTCACAAAATATAAACACTAACAATGTAAGAACCAAGTTACCTTCCATTTCTTTAATTACTTCTGACTACCAAAATTCTTAAAAAATTCACAAGAGGTCTAAGATTAAAACAGGTTTAGGTTGTGATTTATAAGACAGCACTTAC